CAATTTACTTTCAGTTTTTAGATCAGTATGAACTTATGGTGCCCGTTTTATTTAATGGCCTGAAATAATTACTATCATTATTCATTTTGATGCTTAAATTCCAAATTGTGTTTGATAAAACACTGTTTACAGACTTTTCCATCTTTTTGGACATCAGTTTTTCACAGTCTTTATTAAAATAAAATGCTAAAATGAATACAATACTTCCAATTTCAAAAGTAGCATGAGACTGGGAGGTGAACACACAGTGTAAATATATATATGCCTTACTGTTAAAGTATACAGTGGAAACTTGCTGGATTTCGTTAACCAATGTCACCACTATGCTGTATACCTGAAACTAATATAAAATAATATTGAATTTCAACTGCAACTGAAAATTAAAAAAAAAACCCCTAAAAATAAAAAACAAAGTTGACACTATAAATATTATATCGAAAATTTCAGAAGATTCAATGGCCTAAATCCGAAATTTTAAATGTTCAATTACCAAAAATTATCTTAGTGTCTCCCTAATAATTTTGCTTAAAATCTATTGGCTGTGACAAAAATATTCAGAACATTCATTAAATTCAAGAATTAGTCAAAAATACAAAACATAAAATAAAAAATCCATGAGTCCATACTGATGTAAGTCAATGACTGAATAAATTCATAAATGAGGAAGAGTGACAGTGCAGATCAATTCCAAGTAAGGTTATGACGCTCTGTCCTCAGGAGGGGAGCCTAATTCCCTGGGCACAGTGACCTCTATCTCGAGAGTGAGAGTGAGGAGCGTAGAGAAGCCTGACAAACACACCTTAGCCAGGTGACCATTCACGCTGATAGTATGCATCCTTGATAAAATGTGATGACAGTGGCGCTTCACTTCTGTGGTCTTCCTCCCTAAAACCCATATATCCTCAGTCTAATCATGAGGAAAACATCAAACAAGTTACAACTGAGGGACCTTCTACTATAAAATAGCAGACCTCAAAACTAATCAAGATTATAAAAAACAAGAGAAGTCTGAGAAACTGCCATAGCCCAGAAGAGCCTAAGAAGACACAAGACTGAATATAATGTGGTATCCTGGATGGGATCCTGGTGCAGAAAAAGGACAACAGATAAAAACTAAGGAAATCTGAATAAGGTATAGACTTCAGTTAATGTCTCAATATTGGTTCATTAATTATAACAAATGGACCATACTAATGTAAGATGCTAACAATAGGGGAAACTGGGTACAGAGTCTATGGAAATTCTTTGTACTATCTTTGCAATTTTTCTATTAATATAAAACTGTTATGAATAAAATAAAGTTTATTTTAAAAAGACTCATATAAAAGACAACAACTTCTCATCAGGAAAAAGGAGGCTACAAAACAAACAATTCTAAAGTGCTGAAAGGAAAATACCGTCAACCCAGAATTCTGTACCTATGCCCTTGAAAAATGATGGCAAAAAAAGACATTGTCAGATAAATGAGTGATGAGGGAATTCATCACCAGCAGGACTGCACTGAAAGAAATGAGATATATACAAAAGATCTGAGTTGAAAGGGTAATGACAACAGATGGAACTTAGAACTGTGTAAACTAATAGAGAATTCCAGAAATGTTAATAAGTGAGTAAATATAAAAGCCTAACCCAGTCCCCTCACCAATGAGGGATCCCTTTTCATTCCTCCTCCAAAGGTTCCTTAGACTAGAGTTTGACAAAGGGTCTCCACAGGGGCAGAAACGCCCTTCTGGGTTGTGTCTGTCTGGAATCTCTGAGAATGCTTTTCCACTGAAACAAACATGGAGGGGGGGCGCTGGCAGTCAGAGGCATGGGCATAGGAGGCAAACCACTCTGTAATGCAAAGGTCCTGCAGAGCAAAGAATTATCTCATCCCCAAAAGCCCTTATCTACATCCCTGCAAGAAAACCGTGAATTGAAGAGCATTGCAGGGCACCAATCGAAAGGTAAGGGAACTGATTTCCAAGCCAGTATTCTAAACCCATGTTGCTCCTTTATATTATTTTAGCTTCTTCCTCTTTTGCTGCTGGAAAGGAAAGGATAAGCACAAGAAAGATAAAAAGGAAAACCAAGTGATGAGTTTCAACAGCCTGCCCAGGACTGCATAGAACCTGCAGTATCCAAGCCAGACAGGAAGGCTAACAGAGGAAATAGCTCAAGGGAGGGAGGGAGGGAGGGGTCTCCATTTCCACTTAAGATTCAGAAAAATAAAGGAAAAATTCAGAGCTTATGCAAAAGTTTTAAAACAGAATCACCAGCAGTTATTTTTAAAAAGCAACCGCCTAAGCAGTTGCTTTTTGTTTTTTTTTTTATTGGATAATTATGAATTTTTTTAAAAAAAGTATGGATCACAAAAAGATACAGGAGAAATACTTGCAAATTCAAGGAAAAAGACATAAAATTTAAACTCTTATTTCCTGCCACAGTAGTACATTTAGACTGCAGGCTCCATCTTTTCTGAGGTAATTAAATCCATATTCAATTAGAACCTAAAAACTTTAAACAGTAAAACAATAGTATGACTATTATGTTATTCATTTTCTCCATGGGCTTTTCGAATAAAGATAATAGATTTATATTAAGTGGCCTAAAGTACTGACATTTAAAGGTATTTTACAATGTGTTTGTGATTTATCTGTTTTCATAAAATGTGATTTTTATATTCACAAGGTGAATATCCTACACTTTACGAAATGATATTTTCCTAGTCACTACTAGATAATATTGAGCTATGTAATTTTTTAAGAGAATAAGATGGAAAACAGGGGAAGAGTCATTCAATTTAATTCTGTTCAATCAGACAAAGTAACAATAAGAAGCATCTAATACTGCTGACTGATAAAAAGACAGAAAAGCAACATTATTATTTGGTTATATGTTTATCTAATTTACCTCATCTTCCTTTTAACAATGGAAAGAATATCCACATTCTCATAATGATGTACAAACAAAACTATTAGAGATTTTCAATTTGACAATAACTTGACACAGCTTAAGGCTGTTAAACAATAACAGTAAAGTCTATGTCAATTTTTTAAAACCAAGAAAATAAATCCTTAACTTTTAAACAAATGTGCATTATTTTAAACTACCAAAGAGCCATAACTTCCCCTTTATACTACCACATATCCGCTAACTACATTACAAAGAATTCATCCTGCTAACTAGAGGTAACAAATAAAACCACAAATTGAGCGGTCTTTCCTGTCAGTGATGTCACAAACACTGCATTGGGAAAAATGTCCTTCAGTCACCAGATGAAGGGCATCGATTAGAACAAACACAAACAAGCTCTTGGATATTGCTGACAAGGCAAGAAAACAAAATACTTAAACTTAATGATGTTTTAGAATTTTAAAATTAGTTTTAATTTAAATTAAAACTAATTTTAAAATTAGTTATATGTCCTAAAGTTGAAAAAAAGCTTAACGAAAATGCAATGCCTTGATTTCGGAGGAGCACACTTTACTTTGCTCCAGGCATTCTGCTGAGCATTGCCGAGAACAGAAAGGTAAGACAAACTTCACTTAAAGACACTTGAGGCACTTTTCCGACTGCCAGTCAAGTATGCAAATAATGACAACATAAAAGGAAAAGGACAATACTGTCAAAGAGGTATGAAAAGGCACTGTGAAGGCTGCAGGGGCCACGGACTATAAATATGCTGAGGCCATGATCTAGAGGTTTTGTTTTCCAACTCTTAGCAGTTGCTATCAGAATGCGCGACACACAGCCTTCTCTACCCAGATGAAGGGTGGATAGAACTGACCTGTGAGCAAGGGAGGCTAAAACGGGGATCTCTAGGTTCACCCCTTGAGATCTGCTGCATGGGTCCTTGCCCCTCATGTGGTCAGTATTGTCCCCCAGGGAGAGAAGGGCATCTGGAGGCAGAGAGCAGCTGTAAGGTGTCCAAGAGCCAGGAGAGCAAGTGGTTCTCGGCACACAGCTTTCCTGTTGTTGTCCTCCACAACAGGGGTCATCGCCTGCCACAGAAGTAGTGCAGAAGAAGCCTTCCCACTCAGGAGGTAACGTGGCTATGTCACAGCGGAAGTCAGTGCAAAATCTGGGAATGACACCTACGTTTCCTGTCTTTACTTCCTCGTTTCTCAAAGCCAGATCTGTGGACCAGTGGCATTAGCATCATCCAGAAATTTGTTAAGAATACAGCCGCTCAGGGTGTACCACAGAACGACTGAATCGGCATCTACATTTTAATGAGATTCCCAGGTGATCTATATGCACACTGTTTGAAAAAAAAAGTACTGTATGTCTAGGTGTAAAATTACTAAGCTACAATGTGGGAGTTCTTTAATGATATCATATAGTGCCAAACTCCTCTCCAAAGTATTGTACCAATTTACTTACCTACGTTATTCTCTCTAATTTTCTATGTATTTAATTATAACATAAAGCCATTTCCTATTGCTAAAACTGCTCTAAAAATAAAGTCTATTAAAAAACAAAAACAAAAAAGCCCATATCATAGTGCCTGGCATATAAACAGTAAGTGCTCAATAAACTGTAAAAATTGTTATTAAAAATTATATTGGAAATATCCTAAATGCTTCCAAAGAAATAAATACTATTGTAATTATGCTAATTACTAAGTCATTTTCATCACTGATCCTGACAAGATAAAAGCATCTTCTCAAATAGGTAAGCCTTGAGAATCCATGATGTACCTGGACAAATGATTGAATGCATTATTTTTCAAAGTTCAAACAAAATGTAGAAATGTAAAATGACTAAGGATTCAATCACAGCCAGTTACTTAGTAAGTGCAAGTTTTACAGGCTCTTATGATCAATTAAGAAAAAGAAAAAAAATTTCAGCTGAAGGGAAAAGACATTCATTTTAACAAGCAAACAGTAATACCAAAAATAAATATACTTAGGGAATTATGTTGAAAATGATATGGTTTCAGTGAAGGTGGAATGCTTACTATAAGGCAATAAAGTCTATGAGGAAAAACATATCTATAACCTCCTTTTCTTGTTTACCTGGATGAGTCATGGTGACTGGCTCCTCCTTGGACTTATTATTGTAGATGACCACAGCGACTGCATTGTGGAAAGCAGCCCGTGATATTTTCTCTTTAAATGTGCAATTTCCCCTCTGCAGCAAGGCAATCCACTGTTTGATATTGGGAGGGACAAAGAATCGTGTTTGAGGATCACAGCCCAGATGATCAGCAACTAAACAGAAAAGAAAAAAAAAAATACATTAAATTTTTTCTCAAGTAAAGATAAATAAAAATCAACTCTTGATCAAAGTGCTCAACTGTTCTATAAAGCACATCAAGCAGCTCACTGGCAGAACAGATATGAACACATCCACAAAGGACAGTGCAATGAGTATGAATCCATATCTGTACAGGAAGAGACACTCCTGTAATGCAAATTAAAACAGAGAAAAATTCGGATTAACTTTATAGATAAAAATAAAGAAGACTGTAACATCCAGTGCTGGCTGGTAAAGAGAGGAGGACAAAAAGGCAAAGCCAGAAAACCCCCAGAGACTAATCTACCTTTGACTTCTGCTCACTTGTGTGCACTTACACATTTGTCCACACCCCATCTTCTACCACCTCCATGAAAAGACTGGTTTTGTTTGGAGTAAAGGAAGAAGCCAAACTAACTTTTGGTTCAGTTACCAAGTGGTCTTGTTTGAAATTCAAGCATGCTCAAATTTCTTAGTGTCTAAGGATTTAGAAAAGTTTGCTTTTGGCCTGTTATTTGAGAGTTTAAAGAATCAAAGTAACATAATATTAGAATAGATTATTCCTCTAATTTATATTTATTGGTAAAAAGTACTCAACAGTTCCACATTAGGCTACATACATTAACTTAATGTATCCATCTGTCTAACAGACACACCAAGACTGTCCCCTCAGAACTAAAAATTATATGTCCATTGTCCTAGATTTGGGGGAGCAGCTTGTTTCAAATACCCTTAAGTACATTTCAATTTTGGATTCTGCAAATACGGTCATCACAGCTCTGATACCTTTTGCAAATCTTAAGAAGCTGTCCCTGACTGCTCTTCCCATTCCCTATCCTTATATTTATAGCAGGTTAAAATGAAAGGGAGGGCAGTCCAGAAGGGGGAAAAGATGTTACTAAAGGCAAGTGTGGAGACTGCCAGTCCATAGTGCCAGGGGACAGCGGGCCCTATGCCTCCTGGAGTCAGTCACTGCTAGTACTGTGCAGTCTGGGGAGGGAGGAAGGGGAACACAGCACAAAAAGATAACACTGGAAGCAAGTAAGCAATAAAAATATTAAATAACTATTAATCAATAATTAAGTGTGAAAGAAGACACAACTGGTGGGGAAATGTTTGCTTTCCATAACTCTGCTTAGTAAAAATGTTTGCTTTCCACACTGCTTAGTAAAAAAAATGAAATGTTTACGTTACTTAAAGAAACTGTAAAATGTAGAGATGTCTCTACAGAGAGATGTTATGTGTATCATTTCAACTTAAATAACGTCTTTACCCCAATTCTCTTAAGATTTGCAAAGGGATAGCTATGAGAGCATATTTGCTCCTAATATATTGTGAATGGGAGATGATTTCATAACCTGTCATGACTGATATTTTCTACAACTATGACTCACCTTAAACACAGAGAAAAAAAGCCTATGTCATGGTTTCAGTAGTCAACTATTGAAAGACACCAGCAAGACATTGTGAAACTCTGAAATCGTGAAGCAGACTGTTTACTTTGAGTAATATCTGTTTCACAGATTATTACACTGCTTTAAAATCTGGGCGTCTGGGTGATGTGTTAGGATAACCTCATTGTCTTGGGAAAACTTCCAATACCACATCCAAACAGGGAGCAAAGAAGGTTTTTGGTGTTTCATTTGTGATTTTTCAAAACACGCTGCTGCACAAACCCTGAAGAAAATGCAGAATAAAAAATTGTTTATGGAGATGTGTATATTTGTCTTCTATGACTCTCCCAACCTCCTTATGATTTCATGCGCCATCAGAATGATAAAGAGGAAACAACACAGTTATGGACTACTAAGACCTGGAGGCCAAATTCTAGATCGACTACTTACTAACTGAGCAAATGTCACAGGTTCAATTCTTTCTTCTTCAATTTTACTTATTTATAAAGATTGAGATAAAATTCTTACTTCATAAGAGTTATGTATGTGAAAAAATCTATAATAATGCCTCTACTCCTGGGTGCTTCAAACATTAAATCCTTTCCTTTATGGGTGTCATCCTGTCTTCTCCTAGTGACCCAATCTGGTGCTACGGGGACTCTGAAGAAGTACATGAAATCCATCCACAGTTTGGCAGCACAGCCCCCCAGCCCCCACACCCCTCGCTCCTAACAGCTCCTGAGTCATCCTCGCTCCTTATTGCTTTGACAGTGTCACTGTCCACTAACAACAGCAGTTCAGTAAAAGTCACAACATCTAAGACTGAAAAGACCCAGCAAAGGGTGCAACCACATAGCACAACCTCTCTCTTAAAGGAATCCCTGCTCACTAAGAACAGATTCTCTGAACAACTGCATGATGAAGACAAATTGCAACAACAGACTGCATGAGTTAAGAATGTCTCTGTTCCCCCAAACTTACCCTAATCATCATCCATAAAAGGTCTCTGAAAACATTTCTTTCAGTAAGAATACAACATACAATGATATGCAAGAATAAGATCCAAATTCCTATTCATGGAAGCAGTTTTTCATTATTCAGAAAAAGAAAATACGGGGTTTTTATGAACACGTAATACTGTAGGATGCTTGTTTTATCTACTAATTCCTTCCTGTAATTAAAAAATAACTTGAACAATAAAAATAATGTTAACAGCTCTAAACTTCCCAAGAGGACTGCTGACTGTGATCAAGTGGCACTTCAAAATTTAATACTAGTTATTTTTACTTGAAGTGCTTTATTAAGTGAAGACACAGAATAGCATAAAATATCTACACAATTATGCACCATAATAAATCTGTCCAATAGCAATTTTTCTCAAATTTGAAATCATTTTACCTTTGCTTTTTTGTTTTTTTTCACTTGCCAAATTCAGAAGAGGACATCACTTCTGACTTCTCTGCATTTATTAGCAACAGTGTCAGGAAAAACTTATTAGATGTTACCATGATAATGTGAAATTACAGATGACATAAAATATTGTGGTATAATACTTTACAATTTTGTCAATTATACCCCAAATAAAGCTGAAAAATACTATATTTCAGCAAAAATTAACTTCACTTTTTTTTTTTTCCCCTATATGCCCTTTCCTGCTGGGTCCAGAAACAGTACAGAGGCTTTTTATTTACTCTTTGTCCAGAAACAATTACGGAACCCTCACCTAAATGAACATTAACTTAGATTTACTAAGTACCACAGAGAAATACAATGGAAACAAACATCGAGGTCTTGAATCTTATCGAACCTCTGAATGCATGCCTGGCACAGAAATTAAATATCAACGAGGTGGTATGAAGTACCAACATGAAAAGTGCCTACTTTAGGAAAGGAAAAGAGCAACAAATAATGCAAAGAAACCTACATGAAATCCTGGAAAACTGCCCAAGCAAAAAGGGGTGTGTGTGTGTGTGTGCGCGCGCACACGCGCGCGCAAAAGTGAAGAGAATTAGCACATATGTGTGTGTGTGTGTGTGTGTGCGTGCGCGCGCGCAAAAGTGAAGAGAATTAGCACATGGAACAAAAATTAATCTCTTCTCTTAAACTCTTGTGAAAACCAAGAAAGATGATAGATAACCAAAGCTATGACACTATAGGATAATCAAGTTCTGAAAAGTTTCACTGTGATAGGAAGGGAGGAAGACTATTCTGGCACAAAGCATATATAAACATCTAAAGGGCTCTATGAGTGAATAAGTAAAAAAATAAAATCTCTTTCCCAACCCAGCAGCCTGAACCTCTCCACTTTGATTCATTTGACTTCATGAGACCTTATCTTTTAAAAATGCAAATTCCACCTAATAAGCAGATGTCACCACATTATCGTGTCTTCCACACCTGGTGAAGCATCAATCTGTGGCCGCGGTCAAAGTCCCGTGGGGCTGAAGCACACAATGGAAGATCCCCAACTCCTCTGGGTGCACGGCATACCTGCCTCACTGTGTAGCTGCCATACTGCATCTCGCTCTCAGAGCTCATGTGTCATCATTCACTTTCCTCTGCCTGAAACGCTACTCCTACCACTCCTTTGCCGAACATCGCCTATGCTTCAGGATTCTGCTCATGTACCTTCTCCGAGGCCTTCCTGGCCTCCTAAGGTGCTGCATTCATGTCTCCATGGTGCCCGAGATTAAATCCATTTTAGCATCTATCATACTGAATTAGAAACTGGCTGTTTATTCTGAGCATCTCCTAGGTGTGAGACCTAGCATCTCTTCCAACTTGTCTGCAACAGAGTAGAAGCTTAATTTACTGAAAGGAGGAAAGGAAGAATGACAGATTAAGCAGGAACGGATACAAGGAAAAAGCTTGTGCCAAAACCTTTGTTTCATGTGGGGATGTTCTGACTTGGGCAATGTTCTATCAGCTGTTCTCTACAAAAGTAGTAAAAACAAAAACAAGCCTAACTAGTCACCCTGGATTCAGATACTGCTACTATCAGGTATGTTCTGGTTATTTGCTTTCCTATTTCTACGTTAGACTACAATCTCTTTAATCTTTAGGTTTCCTGGCTACCTTGTTTTTCCTTATTTTCCCTTTGTTAAACTCTTTTTTGATTTGAAGGAGAAAATACAGTTCTTTATTTTTGTTCTCAATCTCTTTACTTTTAATGTTCAGTTACTGGACTTAAATGTCCAGCTTTCATCCCTTCATTCACTTCATAGATATAACTTATTCTCTTACTATTTCTCCACTTTTACTTAAATCTATTTCTTTTTTTCCTTATCTTCACTGTTTGTTTAGTCTTATTGAAAATGTTTATTCTTCCTTTATTTGTAAATTTCAATTTTTTTTTTTCTCTTGACCTTTTTTGTATCTACTTTATTCCTATAATTGTTTTACCTACTACCCACCAACTTCTATTACAGCTTCTTTTTTTGGTAGGATTTGTTATCATAACAGCCAGCAGAAACTATCTGGACCTTAGCCCATCTTGACTTCTCAGGGACCCTTTATTAATGGCCATTCCCTCTTTTTCTCTTTCCCCTCATTTAAACCTGCTAGTCCCTTCAGCAGA